GGCCACAACCTCCAGCTCCCACTTCTGGGGGAGGCAGAGTTGTTTTTAAGGAAATTTACCGTGTTGGTGTTAATTTGTCCAAAGACAGTTCCTTTGGGGAAGACTGAAAGAGCTGTGGCAGACTTTGTGGGCTGCTGTTGGCAATAATTAAGTCTATGCGCTCAGGATTATTTTCCTGCTCTGCCCGAACCCAAAGGTTTGCGACGGATGCTGGTGGGTGGCTTTGCAGCTGGGGGGGGGGTATCGCTGCAATCCCCCGCAAATAGGTTTCGCTGGAAAAGAGCCTCTGTGCACAGGTTGGGATTTTCCCCTGGGGTCGGGCACTCGGCACGCTTTACCGGGCAGCGTCCCGCTGCCTTACCGGGGGGGGGGGGGGGTTTTGGTGGGGGATGTGGTGCCGGTGACCCCGGCTGACCCAGGCGGCAGAGCTGTCCTGGCCCCCCCTGGGAGGTGCCCCCGCGGCGGTGCCATCCCCAGCTCAGGGCTGCGCACCCAGGCAGCTCTCTGGGGAGAAATAAGCTGATTTCAGCCACGCTGCTTGCTTGGGGGGGAGTTTCTGCCCCACGGTGGCCCAGAGGGGAGCGGGAGCCTCGTGGCGACGGGTTTTTACGTTGGTAGAAAAGCCACCGCCTGGCTTTTTTGGAGTGTCAGCCATCGCAAGCGATGCTTTTAAGTTCTGTTCCCTCCCACCCCCCTGCTAGAGGGTAACAAGTGTTTAAGTGTGAACTATTTTGTCCGTGCCCGCGACAGCTTTGCGTCGGTATCTGCGTGCTTATGCAGATCTGGGGGGAGCATCAAAGCGCCAGGTGCCTCCGCAAGCAATTCATAGCCGATAATTCGGAGGGAGGGCGAGCAGCCTGCGAAGCACCCGGCCAGGTGCGAGAGGGGGTCCGGGAGGGTCGGGGCTCCTGCTGGCCTCCCGCTGCGGGGCCCTGGGGCCATGGGCACATCAGCGGAGCTGCCGGGGGGGCAGAGCGAGTGGCTACCAAAGCTGCGGACGGGTGACGCAGCGCCGTGGCACTCCTGTGCGTCTACTCTGGTGCAATTCATCCCAAGCCCGTGCCTTGAACTGCTCTATCCGTGGCCTGGGATGGCACAGTCTCAGCATCCCTGGCTCCGGTCCTTTGCCGTTCGCCTCCCTCCCACCCCCAGTGGGTGCCGCATCCTTCACACGGATGGTTTTGGATGTCTCCTGCATCCATCTCCAAGCTTGCCTGAGCCATGCAAGGAGCAGTTCGGCGTTTCCCGGGCAGATCTCTGCTGGAGCGGGGTTTGTTCCTCGCCCGGCACTCGCACGAACAGGCGGAGGAGCTGCTGCCGCGGCGGGCTGAGCCCCGGGCTGCGCGCAGGCTGCGGCGTGGTGGCCCTCGCGTGCCCAGCGGGAGGGCAGGAGGCCGTGGGTGGCTGCATCGCACAGCTGGGACGCTCCGGGGAGGTCCAAGGGACAAGTGTTGGCTTTGTCATTGCATTTTCTGTCCCTGCCCCTTTTTGTCTCGAGCAGAGCAGCCCAGCATGCCTGTGTCCTGCTCCGCATCCCGGTCACGGGACGAGCAATACCGGCCTGACCCGGCTAGTGCCTTAATCCACCGTTTGCACAAATATTACCCCGGGCCTTTGATAAGCCCGGCAGCCTGTTTGTTCTCACTCACTTTTTCCTCGTGCGTCCAAAGTAAACCGTGCCTCTCTCCCCTGGCCCCGTGCACAGCGAGGGAAGCTGGGAGGAAGGCAGGGTGGCAGCTCCCCATCCTCATCCCAGCCGGGCTGAGGCTGCCGCACGCTCCGGTGCTCCCCGAGCATCCGAGTTTTGCAGCACCGGTAGGCAGCGCTCCCGTAAAACCCCGGGCACTTTCCCTGCTGGAAAACCTGTCCCTGCATTGGGATGGCTCCGTCCTTCCCGTGCCAATGTGTAAGGATGCTAAAGCCGAGCCAGCCCTTCCAAAAGCCCTGCGACTTTCCCAGCACCTCTGGGAGGGCAACGTGAGGCTCCGCTGCCCGAGGACTCGTGGCGGGGTTCCTGCTCTGCCACAGAACTCCCACTGAGAAACCGGGGCAAAATGCGGTCCCCGCTGCCCAGGAGAG